GCCGAGGCGGCGCCAGCCTGAAGGGAGACGTCGGAAACGCTCCACCCGAGAGCGGCTCGTTGGTCTAGGGGTATGATTCTCGCTTCGGGTGCGAGAGGTCCCGGGTTCAAATCCCGGACGAGCCCGAAGGTTTTATTTTGTTTCTTGCAGACACTATGCCTAGGCAGCATTAAAAAAAAAAATTCCCTCCCCCCCCTTGCACACCAACTATTTAGAAGTTTCAGTGAGGCGATTCTGGTCCCGTGACCCGAAACGTTGCTCACTTTCATTTTCCAAGCACGGAGCCTGAATCACTCGCAACAGACGTTTACAGTCTGTACAAAAGCAAGGCGTTAAAATTGGTTTGTACTTTGGAAAACACACAAGCTTGAAAAACTAGAAACCTGGAAGCCCTGATGCAGAATGCGGTTCACGCCTGAGACGCCTCCAAACCTAACCAGGGCGTCCTGCTGGAACAGCGGGTTCTCGGGGTCGGGGTGCACGGGGGATGAGCGATTCCGAGGGCAGGCGGGTCCTCGTCCTGCAGAGGACGCCCCCGACTCCGCTCGGCTTGCGACGCAGTGTGCTCCCAAAGCCGCGGGAAGCCGAGCCCCACAAGGGGAGCCGGCTGGGGTGAGGACCGCCTTTGCCCGTAGTCACCTGGCCAGCGGGACTCCACATTTTCACATCACTCGCCTCTCACGGCTTTCCGGTGTGGGTTGTTTCCTGCATTCACAGCGGATAGACCTTGCGTCCGACCTGTACTTAATACATGTAATCAACTATCCTAAAAATTATTTTCTTCCAAATGCTGCTTAACGCATAAAAAGGTAGGGCTCGTCCGGGATTTGAACCCGGGACCTCTCGCACCCTAAGCGAGAATCATACCCCTAGACCAACGAGCCAGCACGTCCTCATTCTTCCCACTACTGTAAAGGAAACTAGAAGTGCTTAGTCCGGCGCCCCCAAGTGGCTATTTCCATGTTGTATTTCTATCCTTCGGGTGCTTAAAGGATGTTTGCTCCGGCAAGGTTTTCTTTCCCGTTTCTTTATGCAAACCAGTGATAGAAACCAGCGGTGTCGTACCGGTGTGATACGAACCACCTGGTTTGCAGGCCGTGCGTCCGTTCCTGTTTGCGGCTGCAAAGCTGCAGGGGTATGCGGTTTCAGATCCTGCCCCTGGAGTTTCAATCCTTCCTAGTTTAGCTCTAAAGAGACTGAACAGCTCCTTTAACATTCCAAAACCGGTGTATAACTGGATTACGGTTGTCTCCACTCAGCTTCTGCTTGCGTCCAGTGGAACACAGTTTTCCCGCACAGCTAACAACCAGTGGCAGTTATCCCGATATCTTTAATTAACTATGCTTTAAATCTTCAAATCCTCACCATTGATATTCACAAAGAACCAGGCTGTGATAAATGGACAATTCTGACTATTTATTCCAAATTCTTTAATTTTGGTACTTCAACAATGAATCAGGAGTTGTCACGCTAGCCAATAACTGACCAGATGGGACACAAGCAGAGTGACTACCCTAAAGAGAGACATTCATTTATTTTAATTTCCTTTGCCACTCATTCATTCATCCATCAGTTTCGACCGTACTATCAGCCAGAGGGTGTTTTGTTAACTTCCTTGCTAGGATCTGACACCAGTGAACTACAGTTTTGGAACTGTACCATGTCTCCACTCTTTTATGTTTTGTTTGAAACTGCCCTAACTGAAGTCTTCAGTTCTTACTGCTCAAGGCAAGGAGAAGAATATCCTTTAAAATGTTAATGAGTTCTACAAGCCAAGAGGGTTTGTTCATCAAAATCTAACTACAAAAAAAAAAAAAAAAAAAAAAGTGTCCCAGACACCTAAAAAGTTTGTTATGTCTAAGATGAGGGTTCTACCTACTGAATATAACCTGTTGGTTAAAATATTGTGACCACTTTGAGCATCACACTGGAGCATCTCGCTTGCTCCACAGGAGGACGGTAGGAAACTGACAGAAACAGAACCCAGGCTGAAACTCGCCAGGCGCGGCAGGAGAACAGGTCTGTGAGCCCCGCCCAGGAGAAAGTGCGCCCTGGGAGTCTGCCCCCGTGAAGCACATGTAGTTTCCACAGGGGCCTTTCCAAAAGGTCACGGAAAAGTCCACGTTTGTTTTGATGCAAAAACTTAAAAAAAAAAATTCTTGCATATCAGGGGAAATGGATCTGACTTTTGGCCAATGCTCAGCTGTGGCCTGGGACACATCCTGGGTTCTGTTGGATGGCTATCTAAAAAGGGTTCGTTTCTGAGTGCTTCTGGAACACTCACCACGCAGTCTGCAACATGCCTATTTTCCTCTGGAAGACAAGGACATACCCAGCTTGTCCCGATGCCATCTGTCTTTTTTTTTGAAATGTCTCCATGCACCTTCCCTGCCCAAGGTCCTCTGCAACACAGAATTTGCCTTTTCCTAAATAGACATCAATCTTGGGCCCGGCGGCATGGCCTCGTGTCTAAATACCTCGCCTTGAACGCACTGGGATCCCCCATATGGGTGCTGCTTCTAATCCCGGCAGCTGCACTTCCCACCCAGCTCCCTGCTTGTGTCCTGGGAAAGCAGCTGAGGATGACCCAAAGCCTTGGGACCCTGCACCCGTGTGGGATACCCGGAAGAAGTTCTGGATCCTGGCTTTGGATCAGAGCAGCACTGGCTGTTGCGGTCACTTGGGGAGAGAATCATCAGATGGAAGATCTTCCTCTCTGTCTCTCCTCCTCTCTGTACATCTGACTTTGCAATAAAAATAAATATTTCTTTAAAAATAAATAAATAAATAAATCGGGCCCAGCGCAGTGTCGCAGTGGTTAAGGTCCTCGCCTTGCACGCCCAGGATCCCATATGGGCGCCAGTTCTAATCCCGGCAGCCCCGCTTCCCATCCAGCTCCCTGCTTGTGGCCTGGGAAAGCAGTTGAGGACAGCCCAAATCAGTATAGCATGCCCGCCATTGCGCTCACTTGGGGAGTGAATCATCAGATGGAAGATCTTCCTCTCTGTATATCTGCCTTTCCAATAAAAATAAATCTTTAAAAAACAAAAATAGACATCGATCTTGTCTGCATGACCCCTCTCTCTAACTCAGCCCTTTGAGGTTCCACACTGCACAGTGGGTAGATCTTCCTTCCTTCCTTTCTTAAAGATCTATTTATTTATCTTATCAGAAAGGCAGATTACAGAGAGAGGAGAGACAGAAAGATCTTTTACCTGCTGGTTCACTCCCCAAGCGGCCTCAGCAGCTGGAGCTGAGTCTTTCTGAAGCCAGGATCCAGGAGCTTCTTTCAGGAAGCCAGGTGCTTCCCACACAGGTGCAGAGTCCCAAGGCCTTGGGCCATCCTCGACGGCTTTCCCAGGCCACAAGCAGGTGGCTGGATGGGAAGGGGAGGTGCCAGGACATAAACTGGTGCCCATAAGGGGTCCTGGAGCTTGGAAGTGAAGGATTAGTCAATTGAATCATCATGCTGGTTGTGGGTTTCTCTCACCTGGCTCTTGTGTGTTTGAGTCTCAGAGTTTCCTTTTTCAGCTTATCTCTGTCTAGATTTTATTGAGTCTTTTACCCCATCCTTTGGGGGTAGAGTCTGTTGCATCCTCTGGGGAGATCTTTCCCAGACTCCTCTTGCGCCTTTGGGTCTGGGCAGGAGGAAGCCTGTGCGGGTAGAGGTAGAGCTGAGGGGCTCTAACACTGCAAATGGCTTTGAGAACCACCATCTCTGGGGGTGTGCGTTTCTATTCCCCGTCCTTCTTTCCCTTCAAGCCTGTTGAAAGATGTATCCATCCACATACAAAGATGTATCTGTGCCATCCAGACATGGATGGGACACCGAGAAACGGGCCCAAATGGTGTGTTGCGCTGTGTCGTTTTTAGTATGCTCTTTTGAATGTTCTCACTCTGTAGTCAAAGTGCTTATTACAAAATTGCTGTACTACCAGGCTCAAACAGCAGGCATCAGCAAGGGTGTTGCAAGACCGGCTTCAGGCAAACTCAAATCAGAGCTTCGTGGGTTCTCCCACCACACACCTCCCCGGCTCTGAAACGTCTTCTCTCCCTCCATCTCTTCTCGCTTGCAGCCTTCCTTTTCCTCCATCCCCCGGTTTCTCCTGTACCCCAGTACCCACGTTTGCAGGCTGATCTGCCAGGCACTCACTGGATGGCCAGTGTGTGTGTGGGCCCGTTGGCCCCCGGTTGAGCGGGGGTCCACACCACCACATCACACGATCAGCCTGAGGCACAGTCCCTCACTTTTCCTGGCTCACAAAGAGGGCCCAGGACATGAGAAGGCCAAACACTCCTGTACTCCAGGTAACAGGGCAGAGGTCCAGGTTCCCAAAGCCGGGCTGCTCCTGGGGCAGCTTAAGGCAACATGGAGACTCCTGGTAACCTAGCCGATTCCTCAAGCTGCAACACGTACTATCTACCTCAGGCAAAAGACCGGGCCACGGGGACTGGGCCAGGGGGAGAGACATCCTTCCTGGACTACTGAGGCAGAGTCCTCCCTCATCGCGCTCTTCATCTTTATTATTCTTATTTTTAAATATTTTAGATCAATGGATTGCTTGCTTTTCTTTAGGAGAGGCAGGGAGACACCAAGAAGAGCTGAAGCGGAGGCGAGGAGCCGCGGCTGACGGGGAGGATGAAGGGAACCCAGGGGATCGGCCCTCGGAGCGGCCGCGACCGCCGTGCGGACAGCCACGCAGGCAGACGGCCGCCTTGGCCCGCAGCCTCCGGGCAGGGCTGAGGCGTTGGGTGCGACCCGGAGTGCGGGGCCCGCTCGAGGGAGGGGGGTGACGGACGGGCAAGCTGTCCAATCGCATCCTGCAGAGGGCGCCCGCACGGCCAATGGCCGCGCACCTGGGGCCGGCGTGGGCGGGGCTGCGGCGGAGGCTGAGGGCTGGCGGGCGGCCGCGGGGGCCGCGAGCGGGGAGCGCCGCGTGGAGGTGCCTCAGCGCGCGGGCGGCGGCGGCGGGGCGGACCGGAGCCCTGTGCGCTGAGGGAGCCAGCGTCCCTGGGACCGAGGCCCAAGGGCGCAGCGGCGGCGGCGACGGCGGCTGCAGCGCCAGGACGACGGCAGCGCCCGCGGGAGCCACGGCGGCGATGGCAGCCTCTGACCGCAGGCGCGGGTGGTGGTCGGTGCTGGCGGCGGCGCTCGGGCTGTGTGAGTGATGTCGGGGCCGGGGTGAGGGACTCCCGGGGCCCGGTGCACGCCCGTCCCGGCAATCCCAGGCCCTGCGCCCGCGCGGGGCGCCGCGCTGGGGAGGGGGCGCGGCCTGCGCGCTCCGGGGCCGGGAAGGCGCACTCAGCCTCTTTCTTTTGCTTCCTGGATCCCGACGGTGGAGGAGGAGGAGGAGGGGGAGAGCGCCCACCTTGCGTCTTCCCGGGGGTCTTCCCGGGGACAACGGGCGGCCGCACAGGGCCCCGCAGCGTCCCCCGCTGTTCCCCTGTCGGTGGCTGCGGGTCTCCCCGAACCTCAGGGAATCGCACTCGGGAACCAGGGATCCGGCCAACTTCCACCTTCGGGAGGTGGCGGAAGGTGGCCGGTTTTTTCACTTTGTTGGTTGCGCCCTTTGTTGGTTGGTTTCCGCCTGAAGCCCCGTGTTTCCCTTTTACCTTGGTAAGTTCAGCCTCGCATGCTTCCCAAACCAGTTTTAAGCCTCCGTGATGAAAGAGCCCCCCTGGAATCTCATTTTTGTCTACTCTGATCTGCAAAGCACCAAGAAGAAATTTACATTATTTCTGGCTTCGAGTGCAGGGAGCGAGGACTGTGAGTGTAATGGCCCGATTGAAAAGCATTCGGTTAAATCCGTAATATTTTCAGGCATAGTCACCACAATTTGGCAAAACATAGAAGACTGAAAACCACACTCTTCCTTTAAACAGAATTTTTTTTTTCCCCCTTAGAAAATTTCATGGAGCAGACTTGGGTGAGTTGTTTATGCCCAGGACTTGTTTATGCGTGCTTGCCGTTTAAAGCCAAGTACTTGCTGTTGCCTCCGAATTTAGTTAAGTAATGGTTATAACGACTGCCAAGGGCTCAGAAATCGCGGGGAAGTTTTTTTTCATTCCTTTTGTGAAATGTCAGTTGCATCACAGCATTTAGATACCAGAGTTTCCAGCCCGGTCTTTTACAGAAAGGTCGGTGGTGTGTGACCTGTGGAGCCAGGGAACACGGGTGAGGCTCTGTGACTCTCTGGCTGTTCTCTTCACCCAGTGTTTCCAGGCGCTGTAACATGTAAACCCTGCAGTGGTTCAGACTTGAAGATACACTGCATGTGTGTATGGCACAGTCCGTCCTGCCTCCCTGCCTGGGAGGGAAAAGAAAGGTTAAACGTGTGTCATTTTTGTTGTCGTTGGTAGTATTGATGGTGTTTAAGGAAACAAAGTTGCGTGAAACGAGGGTTTATCCTAAGTCTCGCATGGGAGGTCAGGCATGGCTGTGGCAGCACGGCATTCCCAGATTTCTTAAAGTCAGGGTACTGAGAATATTAGAGCTGAAAAACGATTAATGCAAAGACCACAGAGTAGGAGCCACATGCACCCCAGAACCCCTCTTCAGTCATGCACGGTGAATGCTGACGTGTGAAATTTCGCAGTTTAGATTCTTGGTTAAGTTCGGAAGAATGTTAAATGTTTTCTTCTTGCCTTTTCCTGGTTGGGAATACTGGGCGTACCGTGCAAGAGTTCATCTTTTACAGAATAAACTCCTTAAGTTCTTCAACAACCATTGATTAAGCGCTTTTGTGTTTCAAGCACCAAACTATTTCCGTCCTCAAGTTAAGTTCAAGTTGTGGGAGAAACTGTGTGTGCTAAGGACCGTAGAAATGCTGAATGAAGAAAGTGTACTGTGACAGCTCGGAGGAGGGCAATCCTCTTGCACCCAGGAGCAGCTGCTGTGGCATTGGGGGAGGAACCTGCTGTTTGTGCCTGCTTGCACGATCCTGGGTGCAGGCGACGGTGCCAGTTGAGACTGAGGAGCCATCACCCAGGGGCACCGAGTCACACAAGGCCTTGTCTGCCTCTTGTAAATGCAATGAAGGGATGCTCTGTCTATTGTCATGTCAGAGATGGGTTAGTGTGTTGGGAGGTTGAAGCCAGACAATCCAGAGTGCTAATGGAGTCGTGTGTGGGGGGATAATGAAGCGCTCAGTGAAAGCATTGAGTTAGTAGGCAGGCTCTACTTATGAGCTAGTGAGAAAGTGAGGTATTTTTTTTTTCCTGTTTAAAGAATTATTTAATTTTACTAGAAATGCAGATTTTACAGAGGAGAGACAGAAAGATCTTCCATCTGCTGGTTTACTTCCCAGGTAGCTACAACAGCTGAAACTGAGCTAGGAGCCAGGAGCTTCTTCTTGGTCTCCCATGTGGGTACAGAGTCTCAAGGCTTTGGGCCATCCTCTACTGCTTTCCTAGGCCAAAAACAGGGAGCTGAATCAGAAGTGGAGCAGCTGGGACACATATTGGTGCCAATATGGGATGCTGGTGCTTTAAGGTGGAGGATTAGCCTGTTGAGCCACAGTCCCAGCCATGACAAAGTAAGTTTGATCGAGTTTGGAAGCTGACCTCATCTATGCTTGAAAGAAGAGGTAGGTGAGGTAGGTAAGGTAGAAGGCTTTAGGCTTGTGAAGCTTGGCGTGTGTTGGGAAGCTGTTACTCTTCACAGTTGGAGAATATAGGAGAAAGGACTAGGATATCTTCCATACAGAAAGAATTTCTTTCAAATTAGGAGGGAGTACAAACCAAAGAAACAAAGTAAAGTTGATCTACTAAGTCAGAAGTGCCTTCTCAGACCTGCTCTGCCAATGAGGCCAGGCTCGGGGAGTGGAGGGCACTCAATCTTAACTGTTTTTTTTTTTTTTTTTTTTTCTTGGCTGTTTTTTCCTTAGTTGATTTCAGGTCATGTTTCATTGGCCACGTTCTGGTGCTGAAATTGGACAATTTGGAGATTTTTTTTTTTCCTTTCGAAGGGGCTGTGCTTCGTTGAGTAATTGCTGGTCGGTAAATGGCTCCTCAGCCTCATTTTGAACTACATGCCTCTTTAAGTTCAGCTTTTCCCGAGCTGATAGGCGCTGAGGAGAGATAATGGAAGTGCATTTGCTTGTGTCAGGTTTGAGATGCTGATGAGACATCAGCAGTCAGCAACAGGCAGAAGACAGGTGTATGCCCATTCTGGAGCTGAGGAGGAAGTTGTGGTTCACAGTGCAGATTTGGGAGAATTTATGTGGCCAGAAGTGAAGCTTGGCTTGTGTGGGTAAGATCATCAAGGGAGATTGTATGGAAGGCAGCAGAGGGTTCAAACCCAGGGTTAAATGAAACCTGAGAAACACATGTTCAAGGAGAAAAACCAGAAGTTTACTATTTTAGAAACAAGAAAGAATGAAGTTTAAAAGGAAGTGGGGGGCCGGGCATGATAGTGTAGTAGTTAAAGTCCTTGCCTTACATGATCCGGAATCTCATATGGGCACCGATTCAAATCCTGGCAGCCCTGCCTCCCATCCAGCTCCCTGCCTGTGGCCTGGGAAAGCCGTTGAGGATGGCCCAAAAATTTGGGACCCTGCACCTGCATGGGAGACCCAGAAGAAGCTCCTGGCTTCGGATTGGCTCAGCTCCAGCCGTTGCAGCCGCTTGGGGAGTGAATCATTGGGCGGAATATCTTCCTCTGTTTCTCTCCTCCTCTCTGTATATCCGCCTTTCCAATAAAAACAAATGAAAAGGAAGTGGGACCAGCTGGTTGGAGTCCCTGCTGTTCCTCTTCCTATGCAGCTTCCTGCTAATACCTTGACAAAAGCACTGTGAGATGACCCAAATGGTTGTGCTCATGCACCCCAAGTGGAGGCTCCTGGCTCCTGGCTTCCACCTGGCCCAGTCCTGGCTACTGTGGCCACCTGGGAAGTGAATGAGCAGATGAGAGAGCTCTGTCTCTTTCTCTGCCTTTCAAATAAATAAATAAATCCTTTATTTAAGGTGCTGATTCATGTCTTTACTGCTGCTCTACTTCCCATCCACCTTCCTGCTTATGACCTAGAAAAGCAGTGGAGGATGGGCCAAAGGCTTGAGATTTGGCACTCACATGGGAGATCCTGAAAAAGCTCCTGGCTCATGGTTTTGGTTCAGCTTAACTCTGGTCATTGCCATTTGGGGAGTGAATTAAAAAAATGGAAGACATCTCTGTCTGTTCTCTCTGTAAAACTGATCTGTATTTCCAAAAAAAATATTATAATTACTATGGTTTGTTCAAGGACTATCAAATTTATCAACAATAAAATAGATGAATTCAGTAACTAGCATCAAAAAGTTTTTTTTTTTAAGATTTATTTTTTTTATTGCCAAGTCAGATATACAGAGAGGAGGAGAAACAGTGGAAGATCTTCTGTCCAATGATTCACTCCCCAAGTGGCCGCAACAGCTGGAGCTGAGCCAATTCAATGCCAGGAGCCAGGAACTTTTTCAGGATTTCCCATGTAAGTGCAGGGCCCCAAGGTTTTGGGCCGTCCTCGACTGCATTCCCAGGCCACAAACCCGCTACACTATCACTCCGGGCCCTAAATATTTCTTTATTTTCATGGCCTGGCGTGATGACTCAATATATAAATCTTTACTTTGCAAGTACTGGGATCCTGTATGGATTCCAGTTCATGTCCTAGCTACTCTACTTCCTGTCCAGCTCATTGCTTATGGTCTGGGAAAGCTGTAGAGGGTGGTCCAAAGGCTTGGGACCCTGTACCCAGAAGAAGCTCCTGGCTTTCTAACAGCTTCGCCTCAGCTCTGGCTGTTGGGACCACATAGGGAGTGAACCAGCAGATATAAGATTTCTCTGTCTCTCCTCTTTGTAAAATCTGATCTGCCTTTACAATAAAAATAAATAAGTCTTAAAGAAGGAATATTCCTGGCTTCTGCCTGGACCTGCGTGGACCACCTCAACCTTAGCAGATATTAAGGAAGTGAACTAGCCGATTGCAGATCGTTCTGTCTTGCCTTCTATCTGTAATTCTGCCTTTCACATATATAAATAAACCTTATAAATAAATATATCTTAAAAATTTAAAAAACATTTAGTTTATTATTTTTAGTGGAAAGTCGGATTTATATAGAGAAAGGGAGGAAGATCTTCCATCCACTGATTCACTCCCCAAGTGGCCCCAATGGCCAGAGCTGAGCTGA